AAAACACGCGTTATTGTTCTGTCATATGAAGTGGCTGTTTATTTTGCTGAACCAGCATTGTACTGAATTTGTTGTGGATATATATATATATATATATATATTTTTTTTTTTTTTTTAGAAAGCGCACAAACTCTACCGAATTATACATTTTTTAAGGTTTAATAAACTACAAAAAATTGAGCCTCTTTACAATTTATTGCCTACTTAATTTATCAATTAGATCAATCAGATAATCAGATTTCGCTTAAAAAAAAAATCAGTTTAATAAACACATTGATCTTAATTTTCATGGACAAAGCAAAGTAAGTTCTTAGGTAATCTAATTACAGCTACAACTCGCATTTAATAAATTGCTATATTTTTCAGAGTAATTTTATTTTTCAGAAATGCTTCATTTATCAAGTTGATGAATTGAAACCAAATGAACTCAAATTGATAATATATGGTACATCCAGTATATGAAATATGGTGTCATTACTTTGAAATGTTCATGTTTTGATACAGTATAATGTTTCATTTTCTTTTTTTAATAAAGCTATTTTGACTACATATTAGGATTTGTACTTTGTAAAAAAAAGTCATGAAAACAAATGTTGTTAATGTTACTTTAACTAATATTAATCAGTTTACCGGGTTTCATCTATATGTGTTTAAGTAAACAAAGTTTAACTTAACATTTTTAGTCAGTTTGACTGCTGTAAATTGAGTTGAATATGCATGTCACCGTTGAGGTTTTGAAAGGATGAGGACTCAATTTCAAGAACAAAAACATGGGTTTATTAATTTTAAAACAAAGCAAAAAGCAACAGAAACAACCCTGAGAGGTAAAACATTAACAAAAGAAAAAAAAAAAACTTGGACTGGGCTGGCAGGGAAGGGCAGGGCTGGACAAGGCTAGACAAAATGATATACTGACACAGGACGGCAGACAAGGGGGAACTATAAAAGAGAAGTAATTGACAAACAGGGGAACATAATAAACTAATAATGTGTTGACAAGGAGGACTAAGGCTCAATCCCAATTCTTTTTTTGTACCCCTAACCATTCCCCTTGGCCCTTAAAACCGAGTGTGAAGGGGAAGAGTTTCAAAATTTAACCCTAAGAAATGGGAAAGCACTACAGCACCTGCACACGTCATCATATGTCATCGCGATCTCTTGCTTCATATGAGATCAGATGATTGTTACTGCTGTAGTTATTTCAGTTGCTTTTTTTTTTTGGTATGTATATCAAGGAAATCGCTGAAGGCATATATTATGTTATCATAACGATATAATGTGGCAATAAGATCGAAACTATACTGTGCATTTACACAGTGGCCATATTCATCTATGTAAACAAACCAAAAACAAAATTAACATTATAGCAGACACTGTAAAAAACTTTATTCTCAGCCACTCGACTTTTCTGACAGGGTATTCGTGTGTCATCGAGTGTCAGAGTGTTGTGGGACTGCTGTACAGGAGTTATGATTATGGATTATAGATATCGATATTTAGCTGTTTTTATTTTAGCGTTTTTTTTTTTTTTTTTTAAGCATGACTGTGAAAAACAAAAGTGGTTTTGAATATATCAAAACATATGTTTGTTTGTTGTTATAATTCGTAATAATGACAAAAAATACTAATTCGTGGATCTCCTTACTTCCGGGTGCAGCTATCCTGCCATTGTGGCTGGTGTATTCTGGTAAATTTCCTTACCCCTTGGTTTCGAGTGTGGTCCTGAAATATCTTCATTCGAAGGAGTATCTACCCTTTTCTCTTAGCCCTACGCCTTCAAGCTAAAGAGAATTGGGACAACCTGACCCCTTCACGTGAACACGCAAAATGAGGGGTAAGGGGAAAAGCTAAGAGTAGAATTGGAATTGGGCCAATAAACAAATAAGACAAGACACAAACAATAAACAATAAACTAAACAATAGACAAGAAGTACATGACACAGAAACACAACACAAGCCATGTGCTCACATAAAACAGAATTAGAACATGCGGCCACAATGTAAACAAAGCTGGCCAAGATGGCGCTCACACGAAAGACGAAGACAGACAAGGATAAGAGTGCTCAACCTGAGAAAACAAGATTTGAGCACAACATACAAGACAAGACAGGACTAGTGTCTGGATTCTGCCACCAAAACAAGAATTGACAAGAGTGAAGCGGCAGAATCCTGAGAATAAAAGTTCCTTTAATTAAAAAAAAAAAAAAAAAAAAAACTTAGGCAGCAAGAATTTTTGTGTAGTGTAGAGATTTTAAGTAGTATTGAGTCAAGTAATTCACTCCAAAAATATTTTTGCTGCTTGTTTAAACTACTTATTTAAGATAAGCGGAAACAACACAATTCTTAAGCTTCTTGGGGGATAACTTAATTGTTTTAACATTTTTACAGTGTTTAATTACTTTTCAAACAAAGTAATTAGAAAAGTGATGTAAATATTTTTTTATTATTCTGTAATTACTAACTACTTTCATAAAGTAACTTACACTTATTTCATCATAAAAAGCTGAAAATCTTTCACTTACTATTTATTTTACTCAAATCTCAGTGTGATCTTTGTTGATATGCATTTGCTTTTGGTAATATTCTCTCATCTCCACAGCACACAAACAACACACATGTGAAAAACAACTTTATCGGCTCGTTTTGCTATTGTATAAACATGTGCTCCTGGAGACTTGGATTGTGTCCAGACCGTAACTAGATGTCTGGGATTTGAGCTTTTTTTTCTCTTCTTCTTTTGTTCAATAGCATGAGTAATAGCTGCTAGTTCTGCTCGGGTGAAAGGCTGATGGGCCCCGCTCTGAAATGTCACGCACTAAGGCAGCACAGCAATTAGCTTTTTAGGCAGTTCAGGGCACCTGCCTTGGATTTACAAGGGTTCAGGATGTCATGTCGCATTATTTTCACTTACAGCTCACAAACATAGCATGTTTCCAGTAAATGCTCCCTTCATTTAAACAGTATGGAGTTTGAGAACTGACTGGATGGTCCATCTGTTGTTTCTCTGAAGTCAAAAATGCAATACAAAAGCAGAATACCAACACTGTAAAAAATGTATATTAAAATATGCTGTAAAGATACAACAGCTGTGGTTGCTGTTAAATACTCTCACCGGCCACTTTATTAGATACACCCGTCTAACTACTCTTTAACGCAAATTTCTAATCAGCCAATCACATGGCAGCCACTCAATGCATTTAGGCATGTAGACATGGTCAAGACAATCTGCTGCAGTCCAAACCGAGCATTAGAATGAGAGAGCGGTGATTTAAGTAGCTTTGACGTGGCATGGTTGTTAGTGCCAGACAAGCATGTCTGTATATTTCAGAAAATGCTGATTTACTGTGATTTTCACACAGAGAATATTCCGAAAAAGAGAAAATATCCAGTGAGCGGCAGTTCTGTGGGTGCAAATGACTTGTTGATGCCAGAGGTCAGAAGAGAATGGCAAGACTCGAGGTTCGAGCTGATAGAAAGGCAACAGTAACTCAAATAACCACTCGTTTCAACCAAGGTATATGCAGAAGGGAATCTCTGAATGCACAATGCGTCGACCCTTGAGAGGATGGGCTACAGCAGCAGAAGACCACACCAGGAGTCACTCCTGTCAGCTAAGAGCAGGAAACTGAGGCTACAACACATACAGGCTCACCAAAATTGGACAATACAAGATGGGACAAACATTGCCTGGTCTCATGAGCCTCAATTTCTGCTGCGACATTCGAATGGTAGAGTCCGAATTTGGCATCAACAACATATGAATCCAGCCTGCCTTATATCAATGGTTCAGGCTGGTTGTGGTGATGTAATGGTGTGGGGGGGTATTTTCTTGACAGACTTTGAGTCCATTAGTACCAATTGAGCATTGTGTCAACACCACAGCCTACCTGAGTATTGTTGCTGACCATGTCTATTCCTTTATGACCCCAGTGTACCCATCTTCCAATGGCTACTTCCAGCAGAATAACATGCCATTTCATAAAGACTAGTTTCTTGAAAATGACAATAAGTTCACTGTACTCTAATGGCCTCAACAGTCACTAGAACTTAATCCAATAGAGAACCTTTAGATGTGATGGAACAGGAGATTCGCATCAGGGATGTGCAGCCGACAAATCTGCAGCAACTGCATGATGCTATCATTTCAATATCGACCAAAATCTCTGATGAATATTTCCAGTACCTTGTTGAATCTATGCCACGAAGGATTAAGGATCTGAAGGCAAAATAGGGTCAAACTCGGTACTTGAAATGTGTGACTAATAAAGTGGCCGGTTAGTGTAAAACCTGTAAGGTAACACTTTAAAATAACTATCCATTATAAGTAGTTTGTAGATCATAAATGACTAATAAATGACTTATAAATGAGTAGTTAAATAAAAGTTAATAGTTTGTTAATTATTTATAAATGTGCTTTAAAGATAGCCAACCGATAACTTATAAGCTGTTAGTTAATGAGTTATAAATGACTTGTTAACTTTATTGTAATGATTTATAACTATACCTAATAAATTAGAAATAGATCATAACCAAGCTGTTAGTAAACTATTTACTAAAGACTTGTTAAGTATCAGTTCATAGTTTATATATTTTAGTGGGGCGTTATTCTAAAGTTGAAACTATTCTTCATTTATTAACTGTTAGTAAATCAGGAATTGTTGCAACTTGAATAACATCCCAATAACATACTTTAGCTAATAACTAACACTTAACTTATATATAAAAGTGCCCAAACCTCGTAGGGTTGTATACTTCTGTTCTGCCATAAGATGGCTCAGTATGTGTGTTTTTATACATTAAACACAACATGCTCAACATTTCATCTGGAGTTTCTTTGGTAAAATACAGCACACAGAAAAGCCTGAGTTTAACAAGGTTAAGGTACAAAAAATGTATAGTTTAAATATCACATCAAATTTTTGAAGCTTAAAATTGTTCCATCCATTTGCTGTTCTACAAAGTTAAACTAGTATTAATAGATGGTAAACAAACTATGAACAACTGATTTGTAAAGTCTGTGTGCTGTCCTCGCTATATGTGCTGAATATAACTTTACAGCCAGATAAACTCTTCCTTGACATCAAAACTCTGAAGACGATAACTCCTTGTCCACAGGTTTATTGATATTCCAAAGAAAGGTAAAACTGAAATGCACAAAAGGCATAATCAACACTAAGCATGTTGTTGTTAAGATGTATACATTCGCAAAGAAGTACATAAATGAATGTCTTCAAGGCTTTATGTGTTTTCTCTTAAACACACATTCTCTTAAATGTAATATAATCATGTTAAACACACACACAATTCTTAAATCACTTTTTAACTATACTGAATTGCATGAACTTTCAATGAACTAGACAGAGATTACACTCACTATGTCCCTTAACCATAGTGAAGCAGACAGAAAATAATAGACTTCTAATAATAACTATATAAAAATGACCTAAAGCATCTGAAATAGTAGACATTGATTAAAACAGTCAATACATACCCACGATGCTAAAACAAACACAAGATGAATGCAAACGTCACAGAATTAACTCAGGATTGTCTGACTGTGCTGCTCTGTGCAACATGCTTGCTTACTTCCTCATCAGTGCTCACATGGTATGACTCTGTTCTGAAACCTAAGATTCTTAAAGGGGCCACGTCCTAATAATGAAAAACATACATATTCACTCCAGAACAGAAAATAAGTCTACCAAACATTGTGATAACAACACACTCCCCGCCTGATGTTAATAAACATCACTAGATAATTCTAAGTTATTCATCTACTTTAGACTCTGAGGAAAGAAGAAGCACTACCTCTGTAACAGGCCTAAGAAAAAGAGTGGAACCTCCTGGTTTAATGACCTTAACCTCAACCTGACGCACTTTCCCATCTTTGCTAGGGAATGATTGTGTTACCAGTCCAAGAGGCCATTCATTCCGTGGTACTTGGCTGTTCTTAAGGAGGACAACACTTCCTGTATTGACATTTGGATGAACGGACTGCCATTTCCTGCGTGGTTGTAGGGTTGGAAGGAATTGCTTACGCCATCTGTCCCAGAATGTGTTGGAAAGGTGTTGAACTTGCCGCCACTGGCACTTGTACAAGTCGGTAACTCCAAACTCGCCTGTAGGTGCAGCAACAGGGTTCACCTTTTGTGTTAGGAGAGCTGCTGGTGTGAGTATGAATGACTCATGGGGGTCTGTTGTCACAGGAACAAGAGGCCTGGCATTGATAATAGCTGTTACCTCTGCCATGAAGGTCACCAGCACCTCATGGGTAAGTTTGTCTTTCAACTGGAGAAACATGGAATCAAGAATTCTCCTTGCCAGACCAATCATTCTTTCCCATGATCCACCACAGTGGGAAGCATGCGGAGGATTAAAGGTCCATGTACAACCTTGATCTGACAGATACGTCTTTACAACTTTGCTGTCAATGTTTGAAGGTATCTGTAGCTCTTTACATGCACCTACAAAGTTTGTCCCACGATCGGAGCGAATATGTTTGACAGGTCCACGCACAGCAAGAAAACGTCTAAGAGCATTGATGAAACTGGATGTGTCGAGAGATTCAATAACTTCTATATGAACAGCTCTTATGCTCATGCATGTAAAAATTACGGCCCACCTCTTGCTGTATAGGAGACCACCTCTTGTCCGACGGGAGGAGACATTCCAAGGGCCAAACACATCCAGTCCAACGTTGGTAAAAGGAGGGTCTTCTGAGAGCCGTTCTGCTGGAAGGTTAGCCATTTTTTGGATGCTGAGTGGAGCTCTGAGCCGTCTGCAAGTTACGCATTGGTGTATGATGCTGCTCACCCTTCGTTTTCCACCAATTATCCAAAAACCAGCAGCACGGACCGCTCCTTCCGTAAAGTGACGACCTTGATGCTGAACACGCTCATGGTGATGTCTAATGATCAAAGTGGCAATGTGACTCTTGCCGGGAATTAACAAAGGAGTCTTCTCTCTCTGATTAAGACTTGAAAGGTGGAGACGTCCTCCGACCCTCAGAAGACCTTGCTGATCAATGAATGGATCCAAAGTATGGAGTGGACTGCTCTTTGGTATCCTCTCTTGCCGTTTAATGCATTCAATCTCATGACTGTAAGCCTCTTCTTGTACTGCTCGGAGGATGATGTTTATAGCTCTATCAGATTCTTCCATTGTGAATTCTTTGCAGTAGTGCCAGCCTTTGCAAGAACTGTTTTCCTTCTCTGTTGTTTTAAAATGATGAGCTATGTGGATAAGGCGAGTAATGGCACCAGTTAGTGAATTCCAAGAGGAGAATTTGGCAAACCGTTCAGAACCAAGCTGCTTGGTTAATGCTGTGGTGGTTAGTGTGGACACTAGAGGGCGCACATCAGGATCTGAACTTGGATTAACCAGATTGAAAGTGTTCTGAATATCTGTTCCTTGCGTGAGCAGAAAGTTGGGTCCACTTAACCAGTTGGTTTTTTGTAAGTGGGCTGCAGAAACAAAACGTGTTGCGTGGTCTGCTGGGTTTTGTTCAGTAGGAACATATCGCCACTGATCTGGACTAGAAGACCTTCGGATACGCTGAACGCGGTTACTCACATAAACATAAAAGCGCCTGGTCTCATTACAAATGTACCCAAGAACTACCTTACTGTCCGTGTAGTAGGTTACAGCGTCAAATTGCAAGTCCAGGTTTACTGAAATTAAGTCTGCCAACTCAACAGCAAGCACTGCCGCACAAAGTTCAAGTCTTGGCACTGTGTGCTCAGGGCGGGGGGCAAGTTTGGCTTTCCCCATTACAAACCCAATGTGATTCTTTCCTTCATCATCTGTGACTTTTAGATATGACACTGCAGCAATGGCTTTTATTGATGCATCCGCAAAAACACATAGTTCTCTTCTCATAGCTGTCGATGTCGAAATCTCAGTATAAACCCTGGGAATAGAAAAATTAGCCAGCTCTGACAAGGAAACTCTCCACAAGGTCCAAGCGTCCTCCATCTTTTGTGGCAATGGAGCATCCCAGTCACCGCTCACAGCAGTAAGTTCTCTCAGAATAGCTTTGCCTTGAATTGTGACCGGCGCTACAAACCCAAGGGGATCATAGAGTCTGTTAATAGTGGATAAGACACCTCGACGGGTGTAGGGTTTTACCTCATCACTGACACTAAATCGGAAGCAATCAGAATGGAGGTCCCAATTTAGACCAAGACTACGCTGCATTGGCAGCGTGTCTTCCTCAAAGTCTAGATCTTTCAGATCACATGCATGGTCTGTCGATGGAAAGGCTTCCATGACTTTTTTGCTGTTTGCTGCTATCTTATGTAGTCTCAGATTGGATTTAGACAAAACCTCTTGTGTCTTTTTTAACAAACTGATCGTAGCTTCTACTGTAGGCAAAGACTTGAGACCATCATCCACGTAGAAGTCACGCATCACAAATTGCTTGACCTCAGAGTCGACATGGAAATTGTCAATCTGAACAGACTTATGCAGACAATGTATAGCCACTGCAGGTGAGGGTTTGTTTCCAAAGACATGCACTCTCATGCGGTAATCTACAATGTCTTTGGAAGTGTCATTGTCTTGAAACCAAAGAAAACGAAGAAAATCTCTATCTTCCTCTCTTACCAAAAAACAATAGAACATCTGTTCTATGTCTGCAGTAAAGGCAATTGCTTCTTTTCTGAAGCGCATCATTACCCCTACCAGGGTGTTGTTTAAGTCAGGCCCGGTCAACAGCACATCATTCAGAGATATTGCATTGTGTTGTGCACTCGAATCAAAAACTACTCTGATCTGATTCACTTTCTTTGGATGGTACACTCCAAATGTTGGCAGGTACCATTGTTCTTCTTTCTCATCTAGAGGAGGCGCTAACTCGGCATGTCCATTTTTGAATATCTTTTCCATGAACTTGAGAAAGTGTTCTTTCATCATCGGCTTCCTTTCAAAGTTGTGCTTGAGTGATATAAGTCGTTTTAGGGCTTGTATTCTGTTGTTGGGAAGACGAGGACGAGGACTCTTAAAAGGTAATGGAGCTACCCAACTGTTATTTGAATCCTTCCGTAAACCTTCATCCATGATTTTCATGAAAGTTGCATCCTGAATTGAAGGAGCCACTTGATTGTCCTCTTTGGTTCTCTGAAACACATTGTCTCCTAGACAGTCAACATCACAGGTGAATTTAGCTTCCGGGTATGTTGGGCAGTGGTTAGCAATTTGAAAGTCTTTGCATGTTTCCTTAACATGGAAAACATTTGGACATGGTTTAAAGAGAGTTGGACGTTCTGGTTCTATAGTGTTTGTATGGAATGTGCTGATTGTCAGAGGTTTGTGGACATTCCCTAAACATACATTACCTACTATAACCCATCCCAGATCCAACTTCTGTGCATAAGGCAAATTGTGTGGGCCATTCACTTGTTTACGGACTTTATGGACCCGTATAACATCTCGACCTAAGAGAAGCATGATTGGGGCTTTTGGGTCTAGTTCTGGAATGAAGTGCGCCATAGACTTTAGGTGTGTGTGACTGCGAGCAACATCAGGGGTTGGGATCTCATCTCTATTATTAGGAATATCATTGCATTCTATCAAGCTTGGCAGTGAAATGCAAACAGTTCCATCTAGAGACTCTACTTCATAGCCACTGGCCCGTCTTCCTGCTGACTCCTTCACTCCTGCGCATGTTCTCAATATGTAAGGAGCACAAGGACTTTGGTCACTGAAAACTTCAAAAAACTGTGAACGAACCAGAGACCTGTTACTCTGTTCATCCAAGATTGCATATACTTTTACTGCTTTGTCTTTTTGGCCAGCTGGAAATACCTTTACAAGGCATACTTTTGAACACGATCGGTCTGTTTGATTTTCCCCACAGACTTCTGTGCATTTGCTGTCGACTTGAGATTGAGATAAGGGTTGCTCTCCCTCCCCGCCATGCTTTGTGGCAGGGTTTGACTCTTTCCAGGATGCATGTCCAGGGTGGAGTACCGTGTTGTGTCCTTCACTTTTGCATTCAGAGCATTGAACTTTAGTTTTACAGTTCTTTGCGATATGCGTTGTTGAAGAGCAGCATTTAAAGCATACATTATGCTCCCTCAAAAATGCCTTCCGAGCATCAGTAGACTTCTCTAAAAAGACACGACATTTGTTAAGAGGGTGTGGTCTTTTGTGGATGAGACACAGTTTGTCACAGTCATCAGATTGCTTATAAAGCCCGCCAGTATCAGCACAGTCTCCGTAAGATACTGCTGTCTTGTGTACAAAGATTTCGTGTTGTTTGCTGCTCTTCCAAGCTGCCTTCTCTACTTTAGGAGCTGTGTCTATGTAAGAGACAAAGCTGAAGCTCGGATCATTTCCAATATCTGCCTCCTGGCTAACAAAGTCTACAAAGTAAGCAAATGGAGGATATGGAACTTGATTGTGTCGCTTATAGGCTGCACCAACTGATGCCCACTTTTCTTGCAGACGAAATGGTAACTTCTGTATTATTGGATAGATGCCTCTTGCAGTGTCTAAGAGAACAAGACCAGGTAAGTCTCCTTCCGCCTTAGCAGACTGCAACTCCATTAGCAGATCACTCAATTTTGACAATTTTGAATAATCTCGATTGGCTATTTTAGGAAAGGCATCGATTCGTTTGAATAGAGCATGTTCTATTATTTCTGCTGAGCCATATGTTTGATCAAGTCTGTCCCATGCCATCGCCAGCCCAGCTTGTGGGTGATTAATATGTATTGCTCTTATCTGTTCCACTTGCTCGGCTGACTCTTTGCCTAACCACTTCAACAGGAGATCCATTTCTTCACTTGGAGTCAGATTTAAATCAAAAGTTGCATTTTGAAAAGATCGTTTCCAGGCTCTGTAATTCTGGGGTTTGTCGTTAAACTGTAGTAAGCCTGTTGAAACAAGCTCTCGACGAGCCAGATATCTTACAAAGTCGTTCATGTTTGAACTGCAATCATTTGAATTTTGAAACATGGGGTATTCAGAGTTCAGAGGATTAGACGTATTGATGCTATTTTGTGATCCGAATTGCTGCGAAGGAGTCGGATATTTGTTTGCAGGTAATGTTGCAGAGTGTTTTAAGGTGGTATCAGGTAGTTGAAAAGAGACACTGTTGTGTCGTAAAAGGAAAGGCTTGGCTTCAGGTTTTAGCTGTGAACCTGAAATACTGTAGCTTGTACTTGGTTCTATTTTTGCAGGAACATCACACAGTTGTAGATCCTTGTCTAGATTTTTGGTTTGGTCGATAACATATTGTTCTGTTCGCTGTGTGGTTTCCAAGGGAACAGAGTTCAAACTTAGCTTGCAACTGTGTTTTTCAGAATGCTCATCAATGGCAGCTTCAAGAGCCTCTGCTTCTGCAACAGCTGCAGCTACCTCTTTTTTCTGCTGCAGCATTTCCATAGATGCCTCAACTTTGGCTTTTTGTAGCTTTAAATTAACCTCTTCTTCAGCGAAAGTAAGTCGAGCTTTTGCTGCCTCTGCTCTTGCTCTTGCCTTAGCAGCTGCTGATCCAGTTGACGATGTATTGGATCGTGCTGAAGAACATGAAGCGCATGAGCGCGTCTTTAATGACGATGTTTCTGTTGTCATGGCTCCAGCAACACATCTGTTAATTGATTACTAGCTGGGTGTGACGATTATTTGCCTTTGTTTGCCACTTGCAGTTGTAAGGCCGTGGTTTTACTGTGCTGTCCTCGCTATATGTGCTGAATATAACTTTACAGCCAGATAAACTCTTCCTTGACATCAAAACTCTGAAGACGATAACTCCTTGTCCACAGGTTTATTGATATTCCAAAGAAAGGTAAAACTGAAATGCACAAAAGGCATAATCAACACTAAGCATGTTGTTGTTAAGATGTATACATTCGCAAAGAAGTACATAAATGAATGTCTTCAAGGCTTTATGTGTTTTCTCTTAAACACACATTCTCTTAAATGTAATATAATCATGTTAAACACACACACAATTCTTAAATCACTTTTTAACTATACTGAATTGCATGAACTTTCAATGAACTAGACAGAGATTACACTCACTATGTCCCTTAACCATAGTGAAGCAGACAGAAAATAATAGACTTCTAATAATAACTATATAAAAATGACCTAAAGCATCTGAAATAGTAGACATTGATTAAAACAGTCAATACATACCCACGATGCTAAAACAAACACAAGATGAATGCAAACGTCACAGAATTAACTCAGGATTGTCTGACTGTGCTGCTCTGTGCAACATGCTTGCTTACTTCCTCATCAGTGCTCACATGGTATGACTCTGTTCTGAAACCTAAGATTCTTAAAGGGGCCACGTCCTAATAATGAAAAACATACATATTCACTCCAGAACAGAAAATAAGTCTACCAAACATTGTGATAACAACACAGTCTGAGTTAATATATTAGTTAAGTGTTAGTTATTAGCTTATGTATGTTATTGGGACGTTATTCTAAAGTTGCAGCAATTGCTGATTTACTGTTTATAAATGAAGGATAGTTGCAACTAGAATAATTTCCCAATAACATATGTAAACTATTAACTGATACTTAACAAGTCTTTAGTAAATATTTTACTAAAGTACATTTTCATCTCTCTAACTATGGCAAAAAAACCAGAAAAATGTCAAGAGCAAAATCATTTTTTTTTTCAAAAATCCCCATTGTTGCTTTTATAATTGATATTAAATTCATGGAAAATGATATTTAAGCTTGAATAGTTTTAACATTATGCAAAGCAAAACAGCAACTTCTTTTCTGTTTATCTGAGGTCATAGAAAGTCAGCTTTTTAGTCAGTGATAGTCAGAGAAATGTTAGGATATTTGACATTTGGCTAAAAACGGGAACCCTGATATCATCATGGTAACACACATGGCACTGAAGTAATGCAATAAACATTATTATTAATATTAGATGTAACTGCTTGTAAAGCAAATATTAACGGTTTGCTTTACAAGCGTTGCATGGAAAAATATTAAATGGAAAACAAGCTTGACATTTTAAGGGTAGTTATTTAAGATATTTACTTATCTGTGTGTAGATTATAAATCTGTGTGATTATAAATCTGTTTTTCTTTAATATCTTCATGTAAATTTCCTACTTTCATTGTTTTTCCCTTGTAATTTTTTTTTCCCTACTTGTTTCTATCAGTCAGGCACCTCGATTCCCCAAGGCTGGAGAGACGATACATGGACACAGGTTCTTTATTGGCTTTGGTGGAAAAGGGGCCAATCAATGTGTCCAAGCTGCACGAATGGGGGCCAAAACTGCCATGGTGTGCAAGGTACCCAGAGCATCCTGAACTAAATCCCCTGAAGGACACACAAAGAGTTTAGCTTGACAACCAGCAAATCATGTTTTGCAGTATTTAACCGCACAAGATAACCTAACCCCGTAATAAAGCTCTTCATTTTGTCAGCGCAGAGACCCCAATCAATACTAAAGCGAATGCAGTGTGTAAAAATAGACATTTATGCTTTCAGAAACATTCAAAGAGAGATCACACTTCAAAGACAGGGGGCCAGGTAGTGAACGGTCTCCGCTGCTGGGGCTTAGGACCCCATCCTTGGCATGTCTTTACCAGTGTGGGATAAAAGAAGACCCAGTTGGGAAAAAAGGAACCCTTTGGCCCTCTAGCTCAACACTGAGCCTCTCATAAAGAGAAAGTATGAGAGAGGAGGGGAGAATAAAGTTGTATTCGTAGAGTGGAGGCGTTTGTTTGGGGATGCTATATCTGGAAGGCTTGGCCTGATATAGCAGTGGAGAACTTTGACAGGCCAGCAAGTTGCTGAAAAAAAAATCGTCTCAAGTTTTGCTTTTCATCTTCGGTTGCTTTTTGTCTTCAGGTTGGCAGAGACGTTTTTGGGAATGACTACATTCAAAACTTCAAAAATAATGGCATATCGACTGGTAATGGCCAAACGGCGCTTTAAAACTGTTTTACCTTTAAGGCTTTGTTTTGACAAAGATCAAACATGTCTGTCTGCCTGCCTGTCTGTCTGTCTGTCTATCTACAATGGGTAGCGGAAAGTATTCAGACCCCCTTAAATGTATCACTTTTTGTTATATTGTAGCCATTGCAGAATTGTTGACATTTTTTGTGGATTTATTAAAAAAGAAAAACTGAAATTTTACATGGTCCTAATTATTCAAACCCTTTGCTATGACACTCATCCTTGAGATGGTTTTACACCATAGATATTTACATTAGACATGCTTACCCTGTTGTTGTCTATTGGAAGGAATCCGTCAATAGAGCCGCCATGTTAGTACAGGGTAGCGCTCCTTTGAAATGAATGTGGGACCAAGCTGCATAGGAGAACTGTGGCCTTCCAGAGCCAAAGATACACACATACACACATATATGATCGGGAGTTTTCCAAAAGGTCAGTATGCAATTTTTTGTTTTTTGTTTTTATTAGGAAAATTATAATTTTACATCACTTTTCTACATTGATGGATAAGTGATCACAAATGAATTCCAGACGAAATTTTTGTGTTTGTTTGTATGGAAATGTGCTATCCACCCTCCCTGTTAAATTTTTATCTAATCCGTGTCCTGAAACACACCCCCTCTCCTGCTTTCACTTCTCACACTGACGGAGGGAGTGATTCGTTTGTAAATGAATCTCTGTTTTGAAGCACTCGTTCACTTAGTCAACAGTAATACAAGTTTCTAGCACCACAGCGTCTTGTTGTCATATTTCTTTTGCATTGTTTGCTGATTTTATTCAACAAAACTAGCATAAGCCAAGTATTTAGCGTGAGTTGGTGCTTCTTTGCCTTATGATGAATGGAGTGAATGTATTATCATCAATAACGTTACCTGTTTCAAAGTTCATAACATACAAAAACGTAAAAAACTAAATCTTACCAATGTAATGATCCGCCTTTGTGCTTTGTTTTCTTTGTTTGCTTGTTACTACACCCGTAGACAGCGCTGAAGTCCATGATCTTCACGTAGTAACACTGCCTTCACGAGTGCGGTTGAATGACATTTATCCTGGGAGCACTGTACAAATGTGGCGGCGCTATTGACGCAAACTCAGGGTGCGTATGCGATATCTAGTGTATATATCTATAGTTTTACACCTTCATTTAAGTCCAGCTGTGTTTGATCATACTGATTGGACTTGGTTAGAAAAGCCACACACCTGTCTATATACGATCTTACAGCTCACAATGCATGTCAGACCAAATAAGAATCATGAGCTTAAAGGAACTGCCTGAAGAGCTCAAAGACAGAATTGTGGCAAGGCACAGATATGTCCAATGTTACCAAACGTTTCTGCTGCACTTAAGGTTCCTAAGAGTACAGTGGCCTCCATAATCTTTAAATAAAAGACATTTAGGATGACCAGAACCCTTCCTAGAGCTGGCTGTCCGGGCAAACTGAGCTATCGGAAGAGTAGAGCCTTGATGAGAGTGGTAAAGAAGAACCCAAAGATGACTATGGGAGATGCAGTGGAGAAATGGGAGAAAGTTGTAGAAAGTCAACCATCACTGCAGCCCTCCACCAGTCGGGGCTTAATGGCAGAGTGGTCAGACACATGAAAGCCTGCATGGAGTTTGCAAAAAATCACCTGAAGGACTCCAAGATGGTGAGAGATAAGATTCTCTGGTCTGATGAGACCAACTTTTTTGCCTTAATTCTAAGTGGTATGTGTGGAGAAAACCAGGCTGAAACCAGGCATACAGTCCAAACGGTGAAGTATGGTGGTGGCAGCAACATGCTGTGTTTTTTTTTTTTAGCTGCAGGGACAGGATGACTGGTTGCAATAGAGCAGGGGTGTCCAAACTCGGTTTTGAAAGGCCGGTGTCCTGCACAGTTTAGCTTGGAAGCTTCTAATATACTGAGAAGAGCTTGATTAGCTGGTTCAGGTGTGTTTAATTGGGTTGGAACTAAAATATGCAAGACAACGGCCCTCCAGGACCGAGTTGAGACACCCCGGAATAGAGGGAAAGATAAATGCGACCAAGTACAAGGAGATCTTGGATTAAAAAGGATCTTCAGAGTGCTCAGGACCTCAGACTGGGCCAAATGGTTACCTTCCAACAAGACAATGACCCTAAGCACGCAGCTAAATTAACAAAGGAGTGGCTTCACAACAACTTCATGAGTGTTCTTGAATTGTCCAGCCAGAGCCCTGACCTAAACCCAATTGAGCATCTCTGAAGAGATCTAAAAAGGACAGTCCACCAATGTTTATCATTCAACCTGACAGATCTCGAGAGGATCTGAAAGGAGGAATGGCAGAGCATCCCCATATCCAGGTGTGAAAAACTTGTTGCATCTTTCCCAAAAAGACTCAAGGCTGTATTAGATAAAAAAGGGTGCTTCTACTAAATGCTAAGCAAATGGTCTGAATAATTAGGAGCATGTGATATTTCAGTTTTTCTTTTTTAATAAATCTGCAAAAATGTCAACAATTCTGTGTTTTTCTGTCAATGTAGGTGCTGTGTGTACATAAAGAGGGGAAAAGAACTTAAATAATTATTTGCAAATGGCTGCAATGTAACAGTCTGATTACTTTCCATACTCATTATATCTATCTACCTACAGTTGAAACCAGAAGTTTACATACACTCTAAAAAAGGAACATAACCATTTTTTAAAAAATGTCTGATGGGAAATCGTACTAAACGTTTACTATTTTAGGTTTGTTTGGATTACCTAAATGATGTACATTTGCTAAATGATGAGAGAATTGTTTTCTTTTAATAATTTTTTTTTATTAATTTCTAGACAGTAAATTGTTTACATACATTTCCTTGGTATTGTTTAGCTTTGCTTTCAAACTGTATAACTTTGGCCAAATGTTTTGGGTATCCTTCCACAAGCTTCTCACAATAGTTAGAAAATAGAATTTTGGCCCTTTCCTGCTGACAGAATTGGTGTAAATAAGTCAGATTTGTAGGCTGTTTTCTATAGGATTGAGTCAGGGCTTTGTGATGGCTACTCCAAAACAATCACTCTGTTAGGGTTAGTGTTAGGGTTAGTATGCTTAGGGTTATGGTCTGTTTGGTCTGTGCCTTTTTACACAGTGTATATATAAACTTCTGGTTTCGACTGTAAATGGCTAATAATTAGAGTTGTGGCAAACAATTGTAAGAAATATTTATTTTTCAGTGATTTTGAGATTTTCAAAATGCATCACTATTTTGAATTGATTCTGAGCTTAGTTTTTAACAGCAGATGAAGCTCTAGGCTTTATAAATGGCCATACTTTGCTTGCATCCAATTGCTAACAAATACAGTATGTCTTTAAGGTAAAATTATCATTAATAAATTTAGGAAAGGTTTAAGCAAATCTCAAGAGTGTTCATAGTGCATTTACATGATTCAGATAAACGCAGTGTTCGGTTAAAAAGTAGAGTGCATGTGCTGATAAAAACTAA